TCTAGCTCCTCCCGGGGCTGTGCGGGTCCTGCATGTCCAGGGACGTGTCCTCCAGCTCCTCCCGGGGCTGTGCTGGCAAGTCTGTCTGCAAGCGAGAGTGCGCTTGGCTGCATGCAACCTCAAGGCATCCTCGAGCTGTACATTAGCATAACTACTAGGAGAGCAGTGATTTTAATTGCCTGATGCCATAACTGTTTGGGATAAACCAGCAATGGTGGCACTGGTCACACTCCACCATGCTTTTTTGACTCCTGGTTTCCACTGGGAGGGTCCTGGGGGATCTGCAAAGCTATGCTTGCAGTCTCTCCTCAGGGGGGGTGGAGATGCATTTTCCTTATTTTCCACCCTGATAAACCCACACCCGCACCGCTGGGTTTTTCTGCGTGCAGGTAACAAGGCATCATTTGCATCGTGTGTCTCGCCTAGGAGAAACACCGAGCAATATGCTCCCTTGCAAGCCAGGGGCTGTGACGGGGAGCCCACTGGTAAGCAAAGCATCTGGTGGAAAACCACCCTCTTGGGGCAGAAAAGGACGTGAAATAATAAATGTTTTTAAATTTGACTAATAAATGCTGGGCAGAAATGTGAGCCTGTATCCCAGGTCAAAAGCTTGTTACCAAGTCCCCTCTGGTCAATGATGAGTTAAAGGCTTTCCAGCGTGCTTCTTGCAGGTTTAAATGGGATGCTGCCAAGACGAAACAGCTCCTGGGTTCTTGTTGCTGTAGCTAGCATCTGAGTTTATTAAACATGAATTTTAAAACTGTGAGGAACCTGTCACCATTTCCTATTTGCACTTCACTCTTCTTGGAAAGGGAGAGGAGACGGGCTTGTTTCTTAAAGCTGGACTGCTTAGTGTTTTATAGCCTTGGTCTCCCTTTCTGATTTTCCAGCACCAACTATGTTTAGGTTTCCAGCACTGCGATGTTTAAAACTAAACCATACTGTTTTCCCTGAAACAATACTGGGTTTTGTAACTTTCTTTTTAAACAAATCTGAAATGGTTTTGGCGCAGATGCCTTGCCAGGCTCCTTCTAAACAAACCCCGAGACGGGGATATAAGCGTACGCCTGCGAGGGGCACCACAAAGGCATTTGGAAATGGTGGGGGCTTTTCTTCTCATCCTTCTGCTGCCTTTTGTGCCTGAGCCCATCCCGTCCCTCTGAGGGGGGGTCGGTTAAGAGGAGCAGAAGGAAAACACCATGAATTTTAAGTGGTGTGAGCCTGGGTTCACCCAGCAAGCTTCCAGGCTGGCCCGGGCAGAGCCGTGTCCGTGCGATGTGCGGTGATGGCCGCGTGCTTTCTGCACAGTGGCTTTCCCATCCGCTCCAGGGAGCAGCCGGTTTT